TCAGAGGCCCATACATTCACACGGGGACTCTTAGGCTGACAAGGAACCGTTAGACTCACGTAGAGACCAATTGACTCACATAGCAATACACGGAGAACCATTTATCCACAGGACTGTGGATAAATATAACTTTAAAACACGAAACTGTAAAAAAAATTCTTCACATTCCCCTTTTTTTATATTTTTCATAAAAATGGGGAATGTTAAGTGTCTTGTGGACCTGTGTACGGTATACACCTGGCCCTACAGACTGTTGGGGCAAGTGCTGTTTGGCCTGGTTAGCGTACTCCCCTACGAACCCAGCGACCCGGGTTCGCTTCCCGCTCACGGACAACGACAACAACAACCAGTGACGATTATCTGAATTTGTCACGGGCCTTCCGTGGGTCGACTCAGCCTCAAATGAGTACCCTCGTGCAATATGTAAACCGGTGTGGGGAGACAAAGGCGGCGGCCGGGCGTGGTGCAGACCACCTAACCACCACGTGTCCCGTTCCGGCCTTCATAGGTGGCTACTCGCTTACAGCACTTGCCCCAATAGTCTGTTAGAAGCTATACGGGGGATCTTTGTCCTTGTAACCACCACGTGTCCCGTGCCGGCCTTCATAGATGCTGCTCGCTTACAGCACTTGCCCCAATAGTCTGTTAGAAGCTATACGGGGGATCTTTGTCTTTGTAACTACCACGTGTCCCGTGCCGGCCTTCATAGGTGGCTACTCGCTTACAGCACTTGCCCCAATAGTGTGTTACAAGTTATACGGGGGATCTTTGTCTTTGCCCCAACCGTTTGTTGCAGGCCATAGGGGGCGTCTTTGTACACAATAAGAGAAGGACAAAGATCACCTTATAGCCTTAACAGACTGTTGGGCAAGTGATGTGTGGCCAGCTCCACGGCCCGGCCGCCTTTGTCTCCCCAGTGGCAATATTTGCCAACTACACCAGGTACTCATGTGAGGCCCAGTCAACCGAGGGGAGTGGCCCATGACCGGTTCAGAGAATCGTCACTTGTGTTGGTGGCCGTGAGCGGGAATCGAACTCGGGACACCGGGTTTTTAGCGCAGCGCATTAATCGCTACACTACCGCTCCCCACACACCACACATACACAGCACACATACACAGCACACATACACACCACACAAACACACCACACATGCACACCACACAGCAACAGGGGCATGTAAGGCCACATGGCGTGTTGGGGGCCCTTTGCCACCACTGTGGCCGGATTGTGGATGAGAAGCTTCGGGCTTCCGTTACCGCTCGCCCCTGCTGGGCTGTTGTCTGGATAAGCAACAAAAAAAAACCTCCCCACCACCAAATATCTATCCCACCCACCCTGCTCACCCACCCACCCATCCACCCTGCTCACCCCACCCACCAATTTTCAAGGTCAGGGGCACAGCGAGAGGAATTTTAGTCGTCGAGTGTTTTTTCTTTGTCATCTTCTTTTGAGTTATTTTTTTTGGGTACGGAGGCTTTCCAACCGACACGTACGTGCGTGGTTTTAGGTACATGGTGCTGGGCACCTGTGAAACATAGCCGCGTCGCTTTCATCGGATTCATCCACTATGGATACAAATTCTGATTCTCATTTCTGATTCTTAAGTATGTGGTTCGTATTAGCGGTGGAAGTCAGGGCCGAATTTAGGGGGGTGGGTTACAGGGCCCGTTGCAACTCACACTGTGTGGACCCCCCTGCCGCCCCCAAAGTGCGGGGCTCGGGGAAGTCGCTTCGATTCGCCGTATCCTAGGGACGGCTCTGGTAGCAGTGCTAATGTCTCTATTGATATTCTAGCGCCCCTCCCCCCTTCGCTACCCGCCACGCCGTGTCGAAAATGGGGGGCGGAGGGGGGTGGGTTGACCATACTTCACCACGCTGGACAGTGTGATGATGCCTTGTGGGCGAAAGTGCCCCCCCCCAATCCTCTGAGAATTAGTGAAGTGGCCGCCACGCATTTGTGCATAGGATATTTTGTTTTTAATCAAAAGGTTGTACATTATAATTGCATAATTAATCGTATTATGGCGAATTATAATACTGCATATAATAATGTGATTCATGGGATGTCACCTCTGTGTAAATGTCAGCACACTAGACGTGCAATTCATAGGCCGCCGGTTCGGTCTCCCGGAGCGGCAGGCGACACAGTGAGCAACGTTCTGTCCGTCCAGCAGTGTGAATGGGTGCACAGGCGCAACCCTGCAATTGCCTTATCACGCCACTGCTACTAGAGGGAGCTGAGTGAGTTTATTTGCGCTATCTTACAATGCTGGCCAGACCGTCTTGAAAAAAAAATTACGTGAGTTACCCACACTTTACCCCACCAAACGCGACTGTCAATCGACTAAACTACGGTCTTACACATTTATACTGCTACAGGGTGGGTGGGTGGGTGGGGGGGGGGTGTAATAAACGTTTCTCATTATTTCAACTGCCCCCCCCCACCCCCCCTGGAGATCGACTCGGACCGACACCTCTCAGAATTGCAAGCCTAGCCGCGTACTAACTAATCACTACGCCACGCCAGGGGTCTTCCAGCTTCGGGGGCCCAGTTAACAATCCTACAACCGTTACGCAACAGACAAACCACCATTGCCATAGGCCAGCCTTCTTCACTAATTCTCAAAGGATTGGGGGGGGGGGGCACTTTCGCCCTCAAGGCATCATCAGTGTGAGTGAGATGCGTGGCTGCCACACATTTAAAACCATTGGGTGGGGGAGGGGGGCTTGACAGCAGTACGGTGATGATGATTGGGGGGGGGGGGGAGTGTTCACATGTTCTGTATTGCCGGGGGGCCGCACGTCAGGGGACCTCACTAAAGGCCACCAGAGGCCGGTAGTTGGGCCCCTTGTGGCCTTTCAGTGAAAGAACGCTGCCGTTAACGCGATGCCCAAGGCTATATAGAAAATGTCTGGGGTGGGAAGCTAGCGCTGGGGGGGTGGAGCTGTGGGCTGGGAGCGGGGTGAAGGGGGGGTGGTAAGTCTGGCATTGGTGGTGGGGGGGGGGGGGTCAATACTACAGTGATGAGGGGGGGTTCAAAGGGCAGGGCAAATGGCTGGACCACCCCTCGGCCCCTCGGCCTCGCCCCTGCCGCTCGTTTGGAGGAATCTCTTGACTCGACATCTCAAGATCATGGCCACTCAATTTTTACGGCCACGCAGTGTGGCTGGAGGAGTGAGGAGAATGGCTTTTTCAGACGCGTTAAAAAAGGAGGAATTATGGACGTTTCCGTTCAAATTTTTCTCTCTCCCGTCTTTACCCCCCCCCCCCCCCCCGCTACAAACTGCCCCACCCCCACTACCCCCTTTCCTGATCAGATAAATGTCCTAAACACAACAACACACACGGGCAGGGTGCTGATTGGGCTGCCTGTTACACACGCGCGCTCAGTATTTTTGTTTTGTTGCGGCTGCACCCGAGTCAAGAGGCGCATGGCTCACAGGGTTATACCTAATAAATGAAACTGAAATGAAACAGTGGAGCAGCTAAACACGAATCGTCGTTAAAATGGTGCTACAAGCGCCACCAAATTCGCTACGTATTATATAATATCTCCTAGTTGTCACGGCATGAGACGAAAACTGTGTTGGCCACCTATAAATCAAAGATGGCCGCCCTAAACAAAGATGGGCGTCATAAATAAAATGGCGGCATTTTTTAAAATAGATTTTTTTTTTTAAGTTTGTCGAACTTTTTTTTCCACTTTCTGAAATCAACCATTGTGAATCTCTAAAAAAAAATCATGCTCCTATCACAATTTCAACGATTACTCTGAATGAAATGTGTGTGAGAGAGAGAAAAATGCACTTATCTGTTCAAGCAAGACACACACACATTGCGATCGAAATTTTATAACGTAGCCCGCTGATCGCTTTGTGTAACTATAGTGAACAAACGGTAAATATTGACGTGCGGAATTATACAGGTCTGCTTAATGGAAGCCAGTTTCACTCTTATGAAGATAATAAACAACACCAGCAACGACAACAGCAGCAGAAGCATTGATTCCATCGCACGGGCGCGTTCCAATGCATAATCACGTACAGCAGAACAATGGCCTTAAATGAAAAATATATACAGGGTGGTGCCACACGTTAGGGCACATCGGATTATTATTTTTTGTTGCCAAATCATAGGAGGGTTGTTTAATGTATTTGAACACAAATATTGAAACTGACTCCCGTGCACAATAATCCATGAGTGAAATGGGTTTGTTTTGTAAAGATTACAGCGGTGTAATCTGTTCGTCACTTCTGGTTTTCTTGTCTCAATTCATTCACAGGGCTCTTGGTCGAGCCTTGTAAACGACGGACTTGAGGTTACCCCACAGGAGGAAGAACAAAAATTGATACTAATAACGGCAAGAGATACATTAACTTACACAATAAGCAATACAAATCGTGCAATGTCAATATTGGAATAAATGAATAAAACCCCATGTGTTCTGATTTTTGGGCCACCCCGGTATGTTGAAGAGGCGATATTATAGGCAACGGACCTTCTTCATTGCACAACATTTAGAAGGGTCTCTATGAGTATATCTACGTGTCGTTAATGGGCTTTACTACGTGGTCCATAATTTGGGTTGCATGGCCACAGTCACACCACCGTGGCACGTGTCTTTTAATGTCAATTCGTGGAGATATTTCGCATCTGCCTGGTGACGACGACGATGTTCTGAAGCGGTTTATGGTTCGACCGGTGACTTCGAGGAGGAGGGAGGAAGATCGTCAAAGCCAGGAGGTGTGCGATGATGTTTGCGTCTTTGTACGTCCGCGTTGCTCCGCTCGCATATCAGCAGCAGCACCAGCAGCGGCGTTACTCCAACTCTGGTGAGATTCCAGGATGTGGTCACAAACAGCAGCAGCAACAGCAGAAGCAGGAATCGGGATTCGAGTCGACGACGAGGTGACACTGTCGAGGTCTTTGGTTTACGATGGGGGTTGGTGGTGGTGGCCGTTGGTGGTGGTGGTGCTCTACCGCTGTAGGCTGGACTTCATGTGACCATGGCCATCAACTTAAGCACGGGGCCAGGGCAGTCTGCTTGTTTTAATGCCTCTTTGAAGGGGGGCGACTGAGGGCTGTGTAAGCAGACGCACAAAACAAAACACTCAATGGTGCGGCGGATAGCAGGAAACACTATATGGCTGCTCGTAAACAAACCGTGGGGCTGTCTAGACTTTGGAAATGGCATCTTCGCTCCTCTTTGCTGTGCGACAGGGCACGGGACATCCCCATGCAATCCACTCACACATAAGCCCTCCCACGCACGCACGCGCGCGTACAAAGACAAAGCCCCCCCCCCCCCCCCCCGTGTAGCCTCAACAGACTGTTGGGCCAAGTGCTGTCAGCGAGTTAGCAACCTATGAAGGCCGGCACGGCACACGACGGGATGGTGTGGTCAGAACCATGCCCGAGCCACCTTTGTCTCCCTAGTGGCGATGTTTACTGCACATCGCAAGAGGTGTTAATTTGAGGCTGAGTCAACCATGGGAAGGCCCAGTACGAGATCAGATAATCCTCACTGGTATTGGCCGCTAACCACTGCGCCACCGCTCCTCACATATACACGCATGTACATACACATGCGCACTGGATGCACGCAAGTGCATATGTACGCTCACGTGCGCATACAAGCACGCATGCTCACGTTTGGCAACAAACACAAACACGCTTACACAAACACACGGTAATAAAACAGACACACGCACACACGTGGACACACACATACACGCACACTCTCGCGCGCGCACACACACACATAAACACACACACAGAGACTCGCTCACACACAGACCCTGAAATTACACTTGACCTACCTTGGTCTGTCTGGTCTGGGCGGAAGAGTTAACAGGCATTGATTGAGCCGTGTCGCTAGATGCTGCCAGAGTTTCGTGACACTTTGAGAAGGCATTTGTTTAGCCCCTGACAATTAAGCGGTTTTTTTTTTTTGTTTGTTTTACCAGGTTAAGGCCCACTGAGCTATATAGCTCGTTTTCAGAGGCGACTTGGCAATCGCAAATTCAGGCTCAACGAAGTGGGCTTATCATCACGTGGACATTTACGGCGGCTAAACGCTCTGGACGCGTGGATGTCTACTTCTAAACGTCGAGGGAACGCCTGGAGGACCCGGGGGACACATTCGTCAATAACACCGTGGTTTTCAAATGAAAAATGTATAACCGGCGACGTTTCGGGAAATAGCCCTTCTTCACAGCAATTGAAATGGTCAGAAATGTTGTTAAATGCCCTAAACCTCGCGTTTCTATCTACCCAGCCCGTATAAATGGGCAAATGCCTTTTCACACCACTGCTGAAAGAAGGGCCCAATTTGGCACACATGCACTCGAGACTCTGCTTCATACTGTAAGTATTATGCATATAATATCAGAAGTAACTACTATCAGAAGGAACTTTTTTTATATTATATGCATAATTAAAACGGGTTTTATGGCTGGCTGGCTGTGGCGTAGGCGGGGCAAGTGCGCGGTGGTGACGTCACCGCGCACGCCTGCGTGATGGCGTCATCCGCATCCCACTGCGTTGAGCCGGTTGTGCGTGTTGACGTCACCCCGCCGCCCTACCCACAATCACCAGTGCCGTGTATCCCACGCAAGTGCTTGGTGTGCACGAGTTGACCAAAATAAAAAAATAAAAAACCGCTTAAGCCGTTGAATATTTAAAACAAACAATAAACAAAACAACTCCCATCGTGTGTTTGTAATGTTTGTTGTTGTTGTATCATTCTGGCCAGGGCCCTACAGGACATCTGCGAAAAAGAGCTTTCATCTTTTTGATTTAAAGCTTCGTGACTGCAGTAATTCATATTCTTAGTTCTTTCGGTAAAGTCACGTTGAAGGGAAACAAAATAATAATATATATAAAACAATAAAAATTCTCACGACGTTTCGACCATAACACAAGTGGCCTTCATCAGGTGAAGGGACGAGACTGTCTGGAGGACAGTGTGTGGCCGAAACGTCGTGATAATTTTATTGTGTTATTTTTATTATTTTATTATTTTATTCTCATTCTACGTGACTTTACTGAAAGAACCAAAGAAGATGAATCCTTGCAGTCACGATAGCTTTAAATCGAAAAAGAGCTTCTTAGCCCATCAAATTCCTCCTCCGGTCTAAATAAATATTCTGATTCTGAGCGATGCTACTATAAGCAGAAGCGGCGTCTTAAATGCCTCGGATTTTGAACCGCTCGCCTATTTATTTCTGTTAATCTACCATCTACGAGGGTGGCCTAATGGGCCCTGTATTAATGCACTGCGGCATTTGTTGAATCGTGTTTAACGATCTCGTTTACGTTAAAAGCTAGCGCCGAGCGAATGTCAGCCGCTTTCTCAGCACGATATATACTCGCGAACGCACTGTGTATGCTTCGGGTTTACAATGTTAAGCTTCGCGTGGCTATGTGAATCCACTGCTGAATGAAAGTTCCACCCCCAACCACCCCTCCCCCCTTTGTGTAGGGGGGGGGGTGTTTGAACATACTTCACCACCCTGGCCATGTGACCGGTTCACAGCGCAGTATGCTAACCACTTCGCCGTCGCTCCACCCCGTTAATGCTTAGGTGGTTTATAAAATAAAACTATAAACATTTTCTATTTAACCAGATAAGGCCCACTGAACTATACAACTCATTTTCAAAAGCCACTTGGCCACAAATGCAAGCTCAACGAAGTGGCTTATCACGTGAAATTCTTATTTCAGCCAAATTGTCTAAACGCGTGTCTTAAATGTGGAGGGAACCCCCCGTTGGACCTGGAGAAAAATCCACGCTACCAAGGGAAGAGAGACACGCAAACTCCAAATATACAGCAGGCGTCAGGGTTCGGGATCGAACCTATGCCCAGGCGAGGTAGTTAAAATCTCGCCACCACGGTGTTCCTTTCAAGCAAGACTTTGAAGTTTGAAGTTCGTTTTGTGTTTTTTTCACCCACTGTTGGATGAAGGCTGACTCTGGTTATGAAGACGATACATCTATCTGCAAAGATAGGAACTGAATTGAGTACATCAAACGAAACGTCGGACGTGGAGAGGGTTGTCACCTGTCCCGGTTTGACCCGGAATTTGCATCTGTGTGTGTCGGGTGGCAGGAATTGATTTGTATCTACACCAGTTTACTGGTGTTGAACTTTATCACAGTAGGTACACGGCAGCACGGGTTTTTTTAATCATAGACCTAGCGTCTGTCTGAGAACTTCGACTGGAATTTGAGCCACAGTGGGGAAAGATGGCAACCCCGACCACGACCTCACCAATCACTCACAACTCAACTCACTCAGCGACTCATTCATTCACTCATTCATCTACTAGGTCACTCAGTAACTCACCCACTCACTCACCCACCCATATGCTCAGCCACCTACTCGGGTTGCCACCTGTCCGTATTTAATACGGAAGGTTCCAGTAATTGGCGACTGTTGTTCGAGTAACAGAAACGGATGTGTACGGAGATCTGATATCGATATTGTCTTTAACTTTACCATTACAATACACTGCATAGTGTTGATTATATACCTTGTACAGAAATACCTACCTAGTGGAGACTGACAAATCTGTCTGGGGTTTGGTCTAGAGTGGAAAAGGTGGCAACCGATGTCGGAAATCTTGGCCACTCCACCACTCGGGACGACCCGGAGAGACGTTTCTCAAAGTTGTCTAAATAAACTGTAAAAGCCACACACACACACATATCTACAGCGACGCTGCTTTCTCTTCGTATAACCGAAGACCCGGTTTGACCTCGCTGTCATGCACTGGGCGGAGAAGAGGAGGGAGAGAGGTAGAGAAAGAGAGAGAGAGGGGGGAAGTGAGCCGAGATAAGAATTACGAGATTAAGAGGTTGCTGTCGTTTCGCAATCAACCACAATATTCTTCCCTGCCAAGTCTGGAATGCCTGCGTGCAGAGCCGTCCCGAGGGTAACGGCGAATCGGGCCCCGCGCTTTGGGGGTGGGGGGCGCGCTTCGACGTCACGATGTCAGATGTCATACTTAGGGTTTAGTTTAAAAGTTTGAAGGCATCGAGAGGGGGGGGCACACGGTGTGAGTTAGCCCCCCCCACCATGGAGGGCCCATACCTGCGTGCCTGTGGCCCGACTCAGAGATTTGTCTTCAAACCCGCTCCCCAGGTCCCGAGGGACGCTGCACGCGAACGCGATTAACAGGGCCCCCCCCCCCACACACACACACACACCGGTGAAACGATGTGCCAAAGAGCTCGACCGCCGTATTTCCATGAAGAGATCTGTCGGGGCGAGTGCTGTTCGCGAGTGCCCATTGAGGCCGACGCGACGGGCTGTGTGGCCAGCTCCACGTCCGGGTCACCTTTGTGTCCCGCGGGGCGATGTTTACGACACTCGCTCGAGTGGTCGCCCTGTGGCTTTCACGGCCAGAGTTGACGAGCTTACGACAATCCCCAGCCCCATCGTGTGACAGCAGCCGGGGGCCGTCGTTTGTCGATCACGGAAATTAATGCTGTGCCGAAGTCTGGGCCTTTTTGCGATTAATTTACTTTCGAAAATTGGATCTATTTATATATTTGACGTTTTGTCAGCGGCCGCAGTATGATACAGAAACATCCTCTGGAGGAGGAGGAGGTGGTGGGCAGGTGGAGGAGGGGGATAGAGGAGGAGATGGAGAGGGTGAAGGAGGTGGAGGAGGTGGGGTAGAGGGGGGTAGAGGAGTTGGTGGTGGAGGAGGCTTTGTTGTTTTTTTTTGCCGGTCACGGCAATTAATGGCTGTGCCGAACTCTGGGCCTTTTTTGCGATGTGCTTTTATAAATGGTTGCTGCCGTTTTATAAGCGGCCTCAGTATAATCGAGAAACATTATCTGGAGGAGCAGGAGGTTGGAGGGAGGGAGAGGGCTCTCCTCTTTGTAATACAAGCCCGATGCTTTATTGGGGGGCTTGTTAAAATGACCACACATTTTTTTCCATCACCCCCCCCCCTTCTCCCCCCCCCCCCCCCGTTTTTTCAAACTCTTGCGCGCAGTAAAACAAAAAACTTAAGAGAGTAAACAAAAACTACAGTATCGTAAAAGTCCCAAAATAACACGCGAGTTTCA